CAGCCAGTATCTCTGTAACTGCACCTCATGGGGAGATACCTGGCTGGGATGACGGGCTCCCCTCTGCACACTGTACCTTCGTGTTACCTCACACCCACTAGAAAGTGCTGACAGAAGAAATGCTGAATCAGGAGTGCTCAGATGGAAGAAATTAGTTTGTTTTTAGCACCAGCATGGCCCTGTGCCGATTCGAAGCGTTGCTGCTTGGGGAGCAGGGGATGTGAGATTCTGTGCCTGGCACTCTGAGGAGCAGCTTGTTTCTAAACCACAACGAAATGTGCTGTATCTGGGAAATGGTGCGGCCAGGGGGACCCACAACACCCTTTTCTGACAAGCCAAAATTATTTCTTAGTACCTTCTGGCCTCTTGTTAGCAGCCCTGTGATGAGGTGCCTTGGCTGCTGACAGTACTTGCAGTGGCAGCACTCAGAGCTCCCACCTGCACCAAGGGCCAAGGCCAGCCCTGTTTTCTGTACCACTGGTGCAGTCACCAGCAAGTTGTTACCTCAGAGAAGGCAACAAAATCCACAGTCGCTCTCCAGGAGCATGCCCCAAGCAGGCAAACATCTCCTGTTTCGCTGAGCTCAGCAGCCCTGCCTGATAAAAGATGGGATGGAGCTGCTCGGACAAAAGGAGAGGAGAACGTTTCCAGTACTGGCTCTGCTCCCATCAGATAGAGAGTGCATGGCACAAAGTCCCAGAGGTACAGCTCTGGGGTGGCCTCAGGGCACCACCAAGCCAGGCAGAGACAGGGAACAGCCCGGCTTTCTGTCTTACTGGGGTGCTTTGGGGCACGGGAGCAGTCCCTCGACATGGGGAAGAGCCACGGCCATCCAAGCCTCCTCCACTTGGAAAATGCCCACTGGCACCACAGTGAGTTGGGGAGATGAGGCACAACACCTTGCCAAAGCCCATGTCCCAGCCTTGCCAAGGCTCAGCTGTGGGAGCAGCTTCACCCCACTCCTGAAAAACAACAGCTGACCGAGTCCACGCTGTCCCCAGTGCACATTCCCTGATGCTACTCCCTGCCTCAGTTTCCCCAGCTGTCAAAATCATCCTACCCCAAGGCCATCTGAGGCTTCTCCAGCTGTGAGCAGGACAGTGTGGGCAGCCCCACAGCAGCCTCTGGCAGGCAGAAGGGAGGGTAGCAGGCAGAAAGGGGTGCCCCCACTTTCCCCCTCGGTCACCTCTCCTGCCTGGGTGCTCCATGTGGAGCAGGGAGTTGCACAAACCCGGGGCCAAGGAGCACGTCCAGCAACACCCATTGCTTCCTGAAACCGTCTGGCTTCTCTAAAGGAGCTGGACCCACTGCCGAAGGGGTCTAGTGTGTCTCCTGTCCCCTAAGCTGTCAGCATAGAAAACATCCATCTGTATCCCCGCGGCTCTGGCAGTGCGACATTGCCATCTGCTGCCTGCTGCTCGGCAGGACACGCCAGCCTCCCTCTGCCACCACGCTCAGCCCTCCTCCAGCCATCCCTGGGCGGAGGGACAGCTGTCCCTGCGGGGACCCTCCAGCAACGAGTGCCACGGGGGCACTGGGGCAGCAACCATGCCACCGTCTCCACATTGAGCTCACAGCTCCAACCCAGCAGCAAGGAGCACAGGGCAGCCGTGCTTCATCTCCCCACACACCTCTGGCTCTATCCTGCTCCAGGGTGTGTGACTTGTGTGCTTATTTGTGACTAATGAACATGCAGCCACCACCCAGCAGCACACGGATGGCAGAGCAGAGTCCCAAAACAGGGTCATGTTCCTTGCTTTCATAGTTTGGGTTGAGAGGGATATTTTCTACGTCATCTAGTCCAACCCCCCTCCCCTGCAATGAGCAGGGACATCTTCAACTAGATCAGGTTGCTCAGAACCCTGTCCAACCTGACCTTGAACATTCCCAGAGATGGGGCAACCGCCGCCCTTCTGGCCAACCTGTACCAGTGTTTTCCCACCCTCACAAGCACCAATTTTAACTGTTCTGAGCTGCTGTGTGACAAGACCCTGGCACTGAGTGCTGCCCTCCACCCTGCTGGTGACTCACCCACCAAATGGGAACACACACCTCCAGCTCTTGTGCCTTGGGTTCTTCACCTGGAAACACAAAGATGGTATTTTTTAACTCACAGCCACACCAAGAGATGTTCACTTATTTTAAACTTGAAAGCACCTACATACTGTTTCTACAGCCCAAGATAGGAGATGCCATCAAAGGGAGAAAAGTAGTTCAAAAGTAGTTCAAAATTGGTAGTTCAGAAGTTTATCCCTCAGAGAAGGAACTGGGTTTCCAGCTATACTAGTCCTGCAATGGGCCTGGGAGCAGCTTAGACAGGGTATTATTTGGATTTTCCTCCCACTGTTACTTCTCTGTGGGCAGGCAACGTGGTGTTTATCCCATAACCTAACTCTAGTAACCAGGGAAAATACCAGGCGGATTTCAGATCAGTCCAGGGACTACAAAGACAAAAAGGAAGGACTTTAAAAAGAAAAATAATTTTAAAAAGCATTTACCTGCATGCCACAGACACAGCATCTCGCAAGGCTTTTCCTTGGCTATGTGTTCAGCCCAGAGCTCCGCTGCAGGGAGAACCAGCTCAGGAAAACATGTTACTCACAGACCCAAGCAGAGAGGACAGCTTATTTTCCCCTGTTCCAAAAGGCTGAAGAGGAAGAGCGATAAGAAATAAGAAATCCATGAGAATTTCTGCAGTGGTAAGAAAAGGGGACCTTTGAAATTTAAACCAGAAGTTTGGTTCAACCAACCCACTAACTCTGACCTGCAGCATGAAAATGAACGTTTAGAATCTTTTCTAGAAAGGATAAGTGAGGATGATGGAATCATAATTGCTACAGATGCTTTGGAGGAGAAGGATCTGGAGATACTTTAGTAACTTCCTCCATGACCCCCCTGAGGAAGACCACTGTTTGCTGGCAATATATCATTCCTTCATAATTGTAATAAAACAGTTTGGATTTTTAAGATTTGGCCATTCATCGTCTCTGCCCCACAAAAAAATCGTTACTCGGTGGTAATTGGGTTATTTGTTCACACAAAGCAGTTCAAAGCCAGTCAGTGCAACCTCTACCAGCGCCAGTTCCAGAGATCCCTGCGAGGCAGCATTCCCTGCTGAGGCAGCGGGTCTGCACCTGGCAGAGCTCGCAGAGGGTGCTTTCTCCAGCACAGGTGAGAAGCAGCCAAGGGAACCACAACCACAGATGAGCCAAGAATTAAGGTTTGTCCAATTTACGTGCGCGCTCGTTCCTCCGTAGGGTCCCTGAGTTGGTGAAGAGACGGGCTCCAGATCCTCGGCAAACACGTCACCAAGGGTGGTATTTTCATTACCACTGTGGACTCTTCCCCGTGGTTTCCTGGAGCAGTCAGAGGAGCTGTGGTCTAAATCTTTACCTTCCAAGTCAAAGTTGGCACTGGAAGGGACAAACACCCCAGCTGGACCCTCACCTTCTTTCTGATAGTAGGACTCACAGCGGTCTTTATCCTCACACTGCAGCTCTGCAGGGAGCTCCTGCTTACCTGAAGGTCCAGCAGGGTTTAAAAAGAGGACTGCACATCTTTGAGTAATTCATGTCTACCTCCTTCTAGAGGCTAAGTGTGTGGCCCTCCTGTTTAACTGTCTTTCTGGAAAAATTTGAGTGCTTCTCACCTGCATCACTAGTGTTATTCACAGAGTCCCAGTCCACACTCAGATCCATCCTCTGAGGCAAAACCTGTGTCCATCTGCAGCTTATCAATTATGTGCACACTCAGAGATGATAAGGCCATCTCATTTTCATCTCTCTTTAAAGCACTCCCTAGAAAATACAACACCTGTTTCATCAGTGATTCTTCTGATACTAACATAAGATAAATATATAACACTAAAGGTACTTTTCTTATTATAAAAATGGCCCAGACTATTAGACAACAGGAGAAACAGAATCATCTGCTATTAGATATTTAGAAAACATACATTCAGCATATGAAACACAGAATATGTTCAATGGAGTTTAAATCCTCTATCATCATACAACCTTCACTATAAATGTAAATTGATAATTTCCAATTTAAATTCATGTAAAGATGAAAAATCCTAGAATCCCAGAATGGTTTGGGTTGGAAAGGACCTTAAAGCTCATCTCATTCCAGCTCCCTGCTATGGGCACAGACACCTTTCACTAGACCAGGTTGCTTGGGGCTCCATCCAATTTGGCCCTGAACACTTCTACAGATGGGGCAGCCAAAGCTTCTCTGGGCAGCTTGTGCCAGGGCCTCCCCACTCTCATGGGGAAAAATTTCTTTATAATATCTAATCTAAATCTCTATTCTTTTCATTTGAAAACATTCCCCCTTGTCCTGTCACTATATGTCCGTGTAAAAAGTTACTCTCCCTCTTTTCCACGCTCTCCCTTCAAGTACTGGAAGGCCGAGTAAGACATCTCTGAATACAATCATATACATGGAAGAACGCACATATATAAAAACATAAATATTTTTGTATTTGCACGCATATATAAATATAAAACTTGACTATTTCCTTTCAGTGGGCTTACCAAGGTCAGTTTTCAGGGCAGTAGAGCCATATGCTTTCAGAGAAAGGTTTTAATCACATCTCAGAAAGGCTGGCTTCATCAGCCACACAAGCCGCGCTTTCTTCTGATGCTATTCAGAAAAAAATCTGTATTAGTCCTCGTTAGTCACTGCCTGGAACAGCGTGGATCAACTTAATACCCCTTAATTTAATAGATAGCTGGGTAACAGGAGTATTCCTCACCCCCAGCCCTCTAACTGACCTGCTGCTTGCTGCCTTTGGGGAAGGAAAACTTTCCAAGGGATGCTGGCGCTGCGTGGCTTAACTCCATAACCATGGCCGTGCGGTCCCTGCAGCGCGGGGGAGGAGGATGTTCTAATAGCGATGTCGGCTGAAAAATAATAAACATACAAGTAAAAAGAAAAAGATTTATTGTTGTTGTTTTCCTCACTCCGGTGCCCCATTCTCCCCGCCCCACCTAGGGGTTCCCAGTCCCTGCGCATCCCCTGCAGCGGCCGCGGCTGCAGGGGTGGGGCGGGACCGGGTGGAGAACGCGGCCCCTCCCCAGAGACAAGGACAGCCACATCCCTCTCTCCCGGCTCAGCTCCGCAGCCCCGTTCAAATCCTGCGACCGGGATTTCTTCCCACCGCCCCGTCCGAGCGGCTTGTGGAACTCCCGATGCTCTGGGAGCCTGTTCATAGAGTCATGGAATGGTTCCTTGAAGATCGTCTCACTCCAAACCCCTGCTATTGGCAGGGGCCGTCTTCCACTAGACTAAGTTCCAACCTGGCCTTGAATACGTCCAGAGATGGGGCAGCCAGAGCTTCTCTGGGCAACCAGTGCCAGAGCCTCACCAGACCCATAGCAAAGAACTTTTTGCTAATATCTAATCTAAACCTACTCTCTTTCAGTCTGAAACCATCCCCCCTTTTCCTGTTGTTATATGTTCTTGTAAATAGTGTTGCTCCCTCTTTCCCCTGAGTTCACTTCAGGTACGGAAAGGCTGCAATTAGGTCATCCCAAAACCTTCTCTTTTCCAGGCTGGCAAATCCCAGCTCTCTCAGCCTTTCCTCATAGCAGGGATGCTCCAATCCCTTGATGAACTCCAGGAACATCTAAGGACACCTACCAATATCCATAGCCAGGCATTTTTTTGTGGGGCAGAGACGATGGATGGCCAAATCTTAAAAATCCAAACTGTGTTTTATTACAATTACAAAGGAATGATATATTGCCAGCAAAGAGTGGTCTTCCTCACAGGGGTCATGGAGGAAGTTACTAAAGTATCTCCAGATCCTTCTCCTCAAAAGCATCAGTAGAAATTATGATTCCATCATCCTCACTTATCCTTTCTAGAAAAGATTCTAAACGTTCATTTTCATGCTGCAGGTCAGAGTTAGTGGGTTGGTTGAACCAAACTTCTGGTTTAAATTTCAAAGGTCCCCTTTTCTTACCACTGCAGAAATCCAATGGATTTCTTACTGGACTGAAGTTTTAGCAGGACTGGAAGGTGGTGAGTAATCTTCCTCCACGTCCAGCTACCCAACTTTTGTGAGGCTTCTCTGAAATCACCTGAGTGTTCCTCACCTGTGTGACAACTGTCAGCACTAGAAACTAAGCCTGCCTCCAGTCTGTGGTATCATGTAGTGCTTACTTGTTCGAAAGGTGGAGACAGGCAGTACAAATTCCCATGCCCTCTCGTGTCTGGCTTCTTTCACGTCAGCTTCTTTGGAAAAGAAATAAGAATTTCATTATCTGCCAGGATAAGTTAGTATTTAATCTGACAGTTTAATTATTGAGAAATAATGCAGAACACTCCAAATGATGTCTCATGGGTGAGATCAAAGACTCAGGGCAATGCCAGGCAGAGCATCATGTCTTCTGTTGTTGCTCTGAGATGAGACAGAAAAGGGCTTCTATGTCAAGGTAATAAAACCAGCACGTACACACCCCAACACTTAGACTGACAAAAGTGTCAACACGCTCATCAAATTCACGAGCACAGTCCCAGACCTCGCCTCTGGCTTTCGGTAACAAAGAACAGGCCTCTCTGCTAATGCTTCCCCATTAACCTAAAATGACAAACAAAATTCAGAGGTCTTATTATATTGGTTCTCAGACAAACATACTCAGTTCTACCAAGTTTCACATATTTTCATTTTTCCTCCTAATACTGAGGTGTTTCAATGTACTCTGCCTTCCCTTCCATATGCTTTCTCTGCAGGCACATGTTTTTATTAAATTCTAAGAATTTCCCATCAGTCTAGATGAGTTATTCCAGTGTCCACACAAAAAAAATCAGCTGCAATCCTCATGGAGAAGGCAGGAAAATAAGTGAATCACCCATTTCCTTACAATATATGATTCCTATTAAAATTTTGTGCCCATCCTAGATTTATATTCCTAATGCACATATATGGATGCCAAATCCTTTTTATTTATGCTACCTCACTCTCATGCATTTTGAAGAGCCTGTCAGGACAGATGAGGACCTGTAATCAATTTGTCAGGTAGATCTACTTTGGAGTAACTTCTTAATTTTTTTCCCCATTAAATTCACTAAAACGTACAAACTTTCTGTCCCAATGGGAGTGTAATACATTTTGTGCAGGGTTCAACATCCCAACCCATCAAATTTGAATTTTTGGCCTAAAACATTGTTTTAGAACTGTAAAAGCACTTTAAATATCTGAGAGCTTCAAACTCTTTCACATAAAACAAACAAACAAAAACCCTTAAGTAGGAGCTCAGTTCATCTAGACTTAGTTGATATTTGGCTGAAGGCTGAGATTTTAACTCCCCAGGGGAAATCTGGGCTCTTTTTAGCCCACTGAACTCTGGTGACAGACTTGGAAGAGCTGTTAGGGACTCTGAATTTCGAAAGAACACTAGCCCGTTGCCTTCAAATAGTTTTGCTTTTTTTTATCCTGCAGACAAAAACATATATAAAGTATCTAACATATTAACGGTTATAGGTTGTTCAGTATCTTAAAAATTAAAAGCTGCTAAAATTGAAAAAGGCAAAAAACCCAGAACCCTAGGAGTGTGATTAAAAGATGCCATTAAAAGAAGGTTCAGTATCTCCAGTGCTATGCTCTCTCAAATCATTTGCAGCGAGGAATCGCTTCACAATCCTAGCCAGCTCCACCCTGGTTATCCTAACATGCTTTTTCCTGTGGTGCTTGACAGGATTGTCTACATCTCTGGGTCTCGGTCAATGGGCATCTCAGGAAAAAGACATTTGAAAGAAAGACTGAGAAAACAGGTTCTAACCACACTTGCAAAATCTAGAGTCAAGCTGTAAAGACCATGGAATAATTTA